CGGTAAAAACGTACAAAGATGAAGGTGAAAGGTAGTTCTTTCAGTGACAGATCGTTTGATTGTCCTTGAGCCGAAGTTTTCATTGACCTACGGTAGGGTAATAAAGTTTATGAATTCCGAGATGCAGTCGTGCCGCGACTTTTCAAAAAAAAACTTGCGAAAAACCCCAAAAAGAAGAAATAATCTCAAAATGTGTTTTCAATATTAAAATGCGATCTAAACTACAAAGAGCAGCTGCTTTATATGACGGTAAGGACGTGAAATGTAAGAGTTCTGTTTGTTCCACTCCAGAAAAGAGATATCAAGAAGGTGAGGGGGATGGGCCAAAAGGTTCAGACCGCCCAGATTGATTGGAAGAAAACTGATCAGGATACTCCCAGCCAGAACGTAGTCAAAGCCCTACTAGGGAACATTCTTTGAATTTTTCCTGGTCATTACTTAGAATCAGTGCTGCTAGATCCGTGAATAAGGTGGGATCACCTACTAACCGGTAAGTACCGTCTCTTCAGTACCTTTAGGCCGTAAGGGCACTAACGCTTCCAAAAAATTCGCGAAAGCCAGTCTCCGCTACTAAATATCCACTGCGGAAGTACCACTGGATGTACTGATTAGTTTTCAGAAGTAACCTGCAGATGACCGGGTGAGCAGTACCGAATGATGCCATTTATTCATGCATTCAAATCGTATTCAACTCTACCCGGTCCACCTGAGACTTCCATCTTCCCTATCCGGCTGTTGGTAGCCAGATCTGTCTAAGAAGACAGGAACTTTTATTTACTCAATAGCATTCCGATCTACAGATCAAATATGCGATCAATTACATCCACCACCACTGCCAAAAAGGTCGGGCACCTTCCAAGAAGTATTCCATTACGTATACCAACTTCCTATGTATTTTTATATGAAGAACGGTCTGCCGATGCCAGAAAAAATCCAACCTTCAGAAATAGTGTCAGACTTGAAAATCCCGAGCAGCCGTCATTACTTCCATCTTGACAGAAAAATTCTTATCTAAGAGTTCAATTTGACTTTTTTCCCAGTTTTCTTTTCAATGTCTTCCATATCCTTCTGAAGGAATAGACTATCATTGGCTTGAGATAACTATGGGACTGTCTCTTTTCGAACTTAAATTGAGGTGCGCGTTACAGAATCCTTTTCCGTAATTAGTCTTTACAGGCGCCTTTTTTATAAAATTGTTTTTGGTTTTATTTTTCCGGATAAAACTGTACCGAAATATTTTTTTTGGACGAAATCGTGTTGAAAAATCGTAGACCTGCGTGGATGATGGAACCGGATCTTGTCTCGATTGTTCTTTTTGTGAATACCCGAGAAGCCAAGGCCAGTGGTTTCACGTAGGCCGGGTGTATTTTTTCATAACCGTAATTAGATAGAGTGGACAAAGTGGCGAGAGTCCGGCTAGGTCCCGAAAATTACAAGGTCAGTCTTTTTTTTCGAAAGTTATGGGAAAATTTCCTTTTTTTTCTCCATATCCGTTTCTCTAAAAAGTATCCAAAGCCCTAATTACACTACTTTTTTGCTTCTTCTGGTAAGTTATTCTTTGAATTTACAATTTACTTTCCTATATGTAGTACTAACTCAGTAATATACCGTCATGGTCGTGTCCCCCTCCCCCCTCCCCCGAGGGAACTGTAGGCTTCAGAACCTCAGCCTCAGCAGCACGGCATCAGGATTCGGTACGGTGCATGACTACAGAAAACTCCCTCTTCTGGGTTTTGCTCAGTAAGTTAATCGAACATGCTGAGCGCAACTATAACATCTTCGTTCATTTTTGAAAGAATGTTCAGAACTGGGTCTTCAAAAATCCCCAATTTCAAGCTTGTGGTAGATCGATCTCTTGGCTTCGAGGTTTCAGGCTGATGGCAGAGTCGGGCTCATCACACGTAGGCTTCCCGAAAGAGCAAACTTCGATTTTTTCTACGTTTTATTCTTTGTTTTCCTAGACTAAGAAAGAAATCAGCTAACTCTCTCAACACAGGTGTTGGTGTCCTAACTAGCACTTTTATTATCATTTGAACGTCTACCATTTTACTTTTCACTCCTTAGACCATTTTCAGATGTTACCCATCCGTGCGTTGTGACGGATTTGAGTAGAGCTAGTAGCCATTCAAAAGTCTCGGGAGTTCTGAGTGGAAATCAGTTGCGTGGCGTTTCCACAATAGCCCAATTCTGTCCAAATTCTATACCTGAGAGTGCAGAGGCTGATGAATCAATAACGATTCGGTTTTGTACATTACGTCATTAGGTCTTGTTGGGAGAGATGGGATTCAAAACGATACATGACTAAAAGTACATGACGAACAGGCTGCCGATCAAGTAGATGGTGTCGATGGCTATGAAACCGGACCGGAACCAGAATATGGCTAAGCATTTGCGCAATTCACAGATTCAAGAGGAACAGAGCCGTAACGAGGATCGGAACAGAGAGATCATATGGACTATGGTCTATGGGAGAGCAATAGTCGACAATACTTGCCGAACGGGTGATCAAATCCGATAGAACGACGACAAACACTTTTGTACGTATATGGAGATACGGCTATGAATCGGGAATCCGCAGCTGATTACCTTCAATTTTGATGGTACTGAGCCCATTTTTTCCATCTAATTCGATTCGAGAGTTTTAAAAAAATAAAAAAAATAAGGAATAATGGAACTCATCTTTAGACGAGGAACTATGTACTCAAAGGGAAGACTTGTGAAGCTGTTAGTTCAATGGGTAAACACGGTGTTCCGATGGTTTCTGTTCGAAGACCTTTCCTTCTCATTTGATACCAGACATTCTGACCATTGCTCATGACAATCGTATAAACCTATTTACATATTTATTTATTTTTTCTCAATATTTCATTCCACCCACAAATCAGTGTCTGTACAAAAATCAACATGAACACTTATAGACCACACAACAGTGGAAATCAAAAGCATTCCGTCATCATAAAATGATATCATTCCATAATAAAAATTACAAACAAAANAAAATAAAGTACAATAAGATCATGACTTAAAGTGAAGGTAGTAAGACCAGTATGCAGCATTGAAAGCGAGAAAACTTAAAGGAAATACCCATCGACTTTTGTTATCGATCTGTTTGGCTCGTCGTCGTGCCACTTCTTTTCTGAAAAAAATCGATATATCGAAAAATCTTTTTTTTTCGCCTCGCAGAAAGCTGAACTAAATCAGCAAGGTTACTCAAAATCAGCTACGCAAAAAGAAAAAACAAAGTTATCCGTAGTAAAAATGAGTTTACTTGGATTTTTGCAGGTTTTTGAGTGTTTGTTTCCATCGACTGATCGCCTTCTTTTCAGAGCCTAAAGGATATGAGAAATTAGGCAGAAAGGAATTATTTTCTGGAAGAATCAACGCAGCTAATGGAGCTTTTGCCGGGTTCCCAAGTAGTGCTTACCCAAAAGGTGAGCCAAAAATACTGGTACTGTTTAGGCCGGTTCTGAAAACTTACCATGTTCGCCTTCTCGTTTTGCAGTTCGCGACCAGATGATTGACGCCTTCTTCTTGAAGGATGACTGACTTCCGGAATTTGCCCAATTAGCGAGTCTGAATGGCAGGTAGTAGTATTACAAATGAGTTTTTCCCACCACGAATATCTCCACACTACCGGAGGTATTGTTATGTCGCGACGCGATTTTTCCGCGCGCGCATCTGCGCGGCAAATGGAATCAGAATCTGGTCCGACCGTGTTTGCCGACATCATGCGTGCAAAAAAATTGCTTTCTGACCTAACAATACCTCTTCACTTTTAGATCTATCGAAATGCCAAAAAATTAAAATGGAGAATAGGATTTATGAAAAAAGGAAATGAAATCCATTGACTTGCGTTGGAAGTGGAATCTTGTACAGTCAGAGGAAACAGAAGAAAGTACTTTCAAATCGGATACCTTTCTGCTTTTTCTTCAGATCTATCTCTCCACGCTTCGTTTACTATGTCTGACTTGAGTTCGACGTCACAGTCAACCTTAAAAGAGTGACGTTATCTCTTATCTTCCACAGGTGGCAAATGGCCCACGGACGGTGTAAAATCAGCCCTATACCCTCTTTAACTAGCGAAGTCATCTCCGACAGAAGAAATTCTATTACAAACCTTTCGAATACTTTGAGGTGACGTCATTTGAAATGCATTTTCCGAGTTCTTAACAGACACCGCATCGTACATGCCTCCATTGTACATCAGTAGATCTTCCTGAACCATTACGGTATTACTACTTTACCCGGACGTTTGTCGGTTTTGTAAATTCGAATCAGATTTGGGTGGAAGCTACGGGGTTAGTCGCATAGTGTGGGAAGTTCAGCTATCTCAGGACGAATTAGCGACGCCGATTTCGCAATAGGGGATATATGCAAGGGCTTTGCGGGATGGAATTCAATCGACTTCAATCATTTCCCTCCCGTCCATCTTCGAGAATTCTTCGATTATTGATTTTTCGTGTATTTATTGACTTCTTTCGCATCACTATATAATGCTATAGCTGGTTGTATGGAACAGTTGTAGTTCGACGTCTGAAGAAGATGCATTTATACCAGAAGCTGATCTCGATTCAATGCAAGACCCCTGAGTCCAAGAAAAAGAAGAATTTCACCCTTCAAATCCATGGCTATGGGAAAGGGGTGGGAAGAAGAGGAAGGGATGAGTAAAGGGGGCATCTATGCAGCAGATCTATCAAGCCATAACTAATCCCTTCTTCAAACCGACCATTTTTCTCCTGGTATGCGCCACGAATACGATCTTCATTCGAAGTGTTTGAACAGTCTCAGCCCCACTTCCTCTTTTGTAGAGAAATTGATTTGGCAGGGTAGCAACCTACCTCCTCTAGAACTCGGTGATCCGGTCGGCCACGGAACTTGTCAAAAACTCGGTGAGCCTTTTGTGCGAAATTCTCCGGTGGTTTCTTCGTTGACGGAGGCTCAGTAGAAGCTGTAATTTTTTGATCTCAAAAAGTAGGTTTCCACCAAAAAATGGGAAGGTTCTACAAAAAACCTTGGCGTTGTGCGTAGTTGACGATTGTGAATTCGATCATTACTCCAAAAACAAACCTGAAATTTGAATTTGAGTCAGGATCTTTTGTTTGACTTTTGGCACCACATGCACCAGCATCGGGAAAGGACGAATTCAAGGCGCATACGTGTTAGGGGTTGCATCCAGCCTTGTTTGCCAGCACCGAATTCATAAAAGATATGGGTTGCCATCGTTTTTTTTTTTGAAAAAAAAGGAAAAAAACATTGAAAAGCTTGAAATTGGGTGGAGTNACAAACCTGAAATTTGAATTTGAGTCAGGATCTTTTGTTTGACTCGTCTATAGTAATCCTCTCCCGATTACTATAGACGCATATATGTCGTAGGTGCATATGGCCCCAGATGCTGGAAAATAGAAACTCAAAACAACTTACATCATACAGGCTCCCATCCAGACGTCAATGGCTTTCATGTATGATACCTTAACGAAGCCGAATTAAATCTGAGTCCAATCTGGGATATTTTGAGGCGTCCTGCTTGGAGGGTTTCTCTTTGGAACCTCTGAGACTTAAGGAAATGGATTACCTCAGGTAAAGCCATTCTCGCAGCGTTGGCTTGAGTAGAAAGAGTGAGTAATGTGGTAATCGCCAGTGAGACCCTTGCAGGAACCGCATCGACGTCAAGCCAAAACGAAAACCTGAACAAGGATTTTAAAGGATACCGAAAATGACAAAACGATTTAGAAGAACATTTGTGAAGACGATGCCAATACCGATACCTACCACGATATGACGACGATTAGTGTAGTAGGTACGTAGGATTGCATGACATGATGGGTTACTTCACGTTTTACGAAAAATTCCGCCGTCACACAACTCCATGTTCCTAAAATGACATAAATCGGCTACTGGTATCACCACTTTTGAAACAAAACTGAAATTACAGCGAAATTTTTGCTTTTTTGGAGAGATTGATTAGACCGCCTTCCTTAGTTTACTCAACATGTGGCCATTTTTTCCTTTTGAGTTTTCCTTCCCTTTGGAAACTAAAGTTAAGTCAAGTGTGCGCCATGCGCTGTGGAGCTGTTATGCTGTTGTAAGGAGGATTTCAGCAACCAATCGAATATACATTATATTTAAGCCAATAGACGTCCTTTTCAGGATGCCCAACTCCAGTGATTTATTGCTCAGCGCTTAAACATTTTTCCGGGAGGATTTTTGGGGATCTTAGTTCTTCTACACTGTTGTTCCGATTTGAGTCAGATTTACTATTTCGAGGGAAATGGACTCACCTGTTGAGTAGTTTCCATCACAAAGACCTGGATATAAGTCCACAATGTGCATGTCAGACATGGCGATGTTTGGATTTCGAGTTATCGGTGTTTCTTTCAGCCATTCGATCTGAAGCTGATCGGTTGTGTAGGCATCTGAAAATGCAGTGGTCATCTGAACTCATTCGACCTCAGACTTCCATAAACAGACAGCTTACAGCTCAATATACGAAGATGACATCGTTGTGAGTCTAAAGGCCATTTTTCTAGATTCAGTGTGCAAACGACAACCATTGAAATGCGTGTATCATAGAGGATTGAGCCATCGGGCTCAATCCACAGCAAAAAATTTGGCTGTGTCACCTGAAAATAAAGAGACTGTAGAATCTCGTGGGAGGTAAACGGGAAAAGCTCATGCAACTGCTCGAAAGAAAAGCAGTTTTTTTGTATCCAGGAAATAGTCCAGTATGAGTCCGCTGAACGCCCTTTCATGCCGTCTACTTATTTTTCTTCATAAATTTCCCTTTCTCTAGTCAGTTCCTCTTCCTTTTTCCAATCTTTTACTGATGTCTTCTTTTCTCGTTTGTTTCCAATTTTTTTTGCTTCTTCTTAGTCGGAATAGGCTTATAGAGATTGTATTTCTACTGTGTATTGAGTGGCATACTCTTGAGTGCATTTAAATAAATAAATAAACAAGTTGCGATGAGAAAACAGTTGTGACAGAGCTGAACCAATGGGAAGCGGTTTAACTGTACCTGATGAAAATCAGCTGTTCGTGCATTTGCGAAGTATACATCTGGGTGCCACATCCTTGACAGCACTTCCTTATCACGAACCAATACCCGTCTGAAAAGTGAGATTATGATATTCAGGATGACCGCCTCATCACATCTCGCTCCTGAGAGCTGGATTCTGGTCTTTTCGTTCACAGACCGATATTTTTTACCTTTATTCATTTATTTGTTTTACCCACACAGAGGTGGGACTAACTTAGATGACAGGTATCTCCATCCTAAGGATGAAACTGAATGAAAAATTAGAAGATTAAGGTAGACTCCCTACCATTCAGTAGAAAGGAGTAGTTCTCAAGAGGCATTCCACAACCTTTCATTAACTTACTGTCTTCTATTTCATTCGGTCTCTTCTCTTCGGTATTTTAAATTAGGCTTTGTTAAAACAACCCTTTTTCTTGTATAGAGCCTTTTCTTACCGTGTTTCATTGTGAGCCAGACGTGGATCTTTCCAAAATTGTTGGAAGTAGACGTCTAATTGGAAATCCTGTAAAAAAATCAAAATTCATATGGAATTGGTCACTATGGCGGGTTTCTTCTCAATTTTTTTCCAGGAACTATATACAGCTAAATGTTTACTTGTTTACAAGTCTTACCATGGTCTGCGTTCTGAATGATGACATTCCCTCGATGTACATTGCTAGTCGGACGATTGTGGGTTTATCGGCTGAAAACAGAGAAAGGGAGCTTGTCAAATGGACTATTCTTCATACTCTGTCTTATTCGGAGGCATTTTGCCCTTTTGCCGGTGAAAAAGTAAGGTTTTGGTTAGCTAAGAAATGAGAAGCTTGCTAGCCAATTTGTTTTCTTTTTTTCTGAAGTATTTTGAACAAAAGCGTTACTTCCAGCAAAGCAGGCTGTCACTCTTTCACTCTAGAGGTTTGATGAATGATTAGCCAATCAATTAGAGATAAAATGATTTTGAAAGAGCGAGAAAAACAGAGGTAAATTTCCCCTTTTTCGATGCTTTAGTCCCTACCTATTCACTTTTATAGTGTTGGAGCTGTTTTAAGCCGTGCTATCATATACTGTTATAGACAGAATCGCCCTTTCTTCTTTTCGACCCTTTTTATAGTTTTTTTGGTTTTTATAAATATTAATAAGGCCGTCGTCAGGGACGGTGAACGCCCGCGATAGGAGGAGTGAAAGGAAATGAGTGGAGGGGGGTGGGGGGAGAGAATCTTGTGATGAAAAACTCAATTCTTGTCGCTTCAATCTACGGTGATTGGCGGGTGAGACAGTATCAAAGCGATAAATAGGTATATTGTACCATTATCTGGAATTTTCTTAACAAAAGAGCTATTTTCTCTCAACTAGCATAATTAGGCCCCCTCCCTATAGACGTAATTAATCAAAAATTAATCAAAATCAAAAGCGGTTATTACGGCACTGCAAGCACTGCATTCACTCAAATCCAAAAGATTTTAACAGCCCATGTTTTACAGCCCATGTTTTTTTAGTTTTTTAAGAGTATTCTATTTCCGATAGGCTCGAACCTTCTTGAACTGGCGGCGAATGCTTGTCGTATATTCGTCGTCCACCACTTAGTAATGCATCCATGTAAAGAGGAATCGGTTCGCTACGTTCAGCCCAACAGTAATGGCTGAATATGAAGCTTTACTTGTTTAATTATTCATCAAATTTTGTTTTGCAATGATTCAGGTAAACAGAAGCTAAATTCAATACAACTCCAATTTTGTACTCTTTTCGTTATGTTGTGTCGGCTCAGCTCAGGCATGGACTTTTGGGCCATTCCGTGGAGTCTACCTTTCTCAATGGAGGAAAATGGTCTCGATGCTCACCTTAAACTCATCACCAGCCATGGTAGCAACATGTTGGTAGAGTCCTTGCTCATAGAGAGCTGGTGTAACCCAATCACTGAAATAGGGAAATTACCAAACTTCGTAGGCATTGTTCTTGAAGCAGTTCCACGATTCTAAAAGTGTTTGCAAAAGCTCCTGCGTTCTCGATTCTTGGCGCGATATTGATGAACAGCAAACGTCTAGGAGGGTTAAAGGGTTGGGATAATAGATAATAGGCTATAGGATCATCATTGGTAAAGTCTAACTTTACAAATCTTCTAAGTCTGACAATGAAGAGCAGAGCAGTGACAAATAACTTCTCTAACTGTTATTACGGTGCGAAGGTGGAATTCCGAGGGTGGATTCTGTTTGGCCAATCTAACTTTGTCCGACCTACAGGTCTGTTGCTTTCAAAGAACAAGGATACTATCACGAGCAAAAAAAAGCACGCCGTTAAGTGAATTTGCCATAGTGCATCGAGATTTGCATTGTCTTAGATTTGATTGTGGAGCCTCAGCCAAGATTGTACAGCCTTAATCGGTTAAGTTTTCCTCGTTGCCTTCATCAAATGGTGGAATCCGAGAACGCATGAATCCTGAGCTTTGGCGAAGGCGATAAGGCTTGGGCAAACAAAGTTGAAATTCTTGACCAAGGCTTCATCGCTATGCTTGAGGCTATCACATGCTAAGGTGTACTGACTACCATGTATAGTCTTCCTGTCGGTATTCAAACTAAGACATCGGTTCGATTCGGTGTTGAAGGGGTTGCATATAGCGAAAAAAGAGGCTAGCTCAGCGCTCGACTTTTCAAAATTTATTGACCTATGTCAAGGACGAGCAGCGGCTTTGTAATGGTGAGTGGGGCACTACCGTATACCCAAGGTCCGAGGATCAATTGATACTCGCCCAAGTCATCCAACCGTAATACTTCTCCTGGGTCGGTAATTTGGTACAGACTCGCTTGGTAGAATAAAACCTCTGATCTTTATTATACATCAGCTGACTATCGCAAGTCATTGTAGAGCCCTTATAGTCATTAAAACCGCCGCTAAGGTTCGAGCACATACCATGCTGCATTAGAAACAACTAGGTCACTATGAGGGAAAGTCCCGAAAACTCTCAATCTGACCAAAATGTTAGTATAACACTTCAGAAACGACAGCAGGACGTAACGCAGGCTGGGGGTTGACACTAATGACGCTTGTCTGTTGTTTTGGCCAAGCGACACCTTTTTTAACAAAAGCCAGAGCACCAGTGAATCGAGACACCTTTTCATTGGAACGACTAGGCTTTACGTTAACTCCATCTTAAAAATTCACAGATACTGGCTCTGCCGAAGCGACTACAATGCCATCCTGGTCAAGAAAACAGCAATGCTTAATAAGCAATTCGCAAGGGTAATGATTGCGTAACGAAGAAGTGCAAGAGTAGAGGCAGAAGGAGCCTTCTAGCTTCTTACTGAGTATAAATTGTCCCTTATCTATTAATCTAAATCTAAATACTTATCTACTAATGAGCATGATGTGAGTTGGTTGTAGGTGGGGGTTGCAGTTACAGTGTGGAGAAAGGAAAGGGAGCTGAAATTCCGTATGTGCTGTATATATGGACAAGTTAGGATGACAAAAAGTATGGAAAAGTAAGAATGAGATCACCAAAAAGAAGAAGTTAGAAATGACAGGATGTTGTTAAATGGATGGAACGATCAATGAGCAGTAAACAAGTAAATAAGTAACCACATAAGTCAAATAGTTATGTAAGAATGGTTCATGGCTGCTGGAACTTGCTGGCTTTCAACCAATGAATTAGGACTGTGCTAAAGGTAGTACGGCAGTAATAATGAAAAGAACTTACACTATCAACTTTTATGAGGATGTTTGAATAGCTTATCCCCAAAAATGAGAGTACAGTTGGACTTCTACAATACGATAACAAATTCGAAGAAAAAAGGGTCCGAAAAAAAGTAAGAAATTGGAATATTTGATAGAATAGAAGCCTGGCATAAGCCTCAACATCTCCAGAGGGATCCCAAGTAGGATTCTTATTCAAGTCACTAACAGGCAGATCACTCAAAGAGCATATGGACCGTCCCGAGGAGTAGATGATTTTGGGAAGTTATTTATGCCAACATGGAGTACATTAGATGTCTAGAAGGCGGAAACGTCGACAGACGTTTGACATTACAGTTCAGAAGAGACCCTCGTCACCGGTCATCGCGCCTGAATAGTCGGTATAGTGTATATTAGTAATGAAAATACTAGTTCCATGGCAAATGATCGAACCTCGGTTTGATACATGGCCTTGTCGACCAGGGCTTAAATTCCTCCGGAATCGTTCAAACAGTACTACAGTCATCTGAGAGAATAAAAAGCTGGGAATCCTAGAGATGTTCAGAACAATGAGCTGGGTCTCCAGATAATGAGCGGGCAGAAAAAGACATTTTCAGGATCTAAAACATTTTCAAGCCACCTTTCTCCCACTTTTCAATGTAAAGCAAGCATATCGAGAAAAATTGCTTTAAAAAAGAAAGGGAGAAAGAAAAGATCGTTGGAGCACGAGTGCATCTCTTTCCTCGTCCTCCCAATACATATCCATTTCAAATGAGCGATAGCCCTCGAAGAGTTGGGAAGTCAGTCATTTATTGCTTCATGCCTCTTGAGGTTAGACATGTCTTTGACAACTGGGCTAGGCATTACTTCAACAAATTTTCCAGTTTTCAGGATTGAAATTCAAGAGTTCAATATTAAAGAATCTACAACGAATCTTTTTTGATAACAAAAATAAAAAAATCAGAAGAAGACCAAAAAATGCTACAAAAAAAGCAGAAAAAAGCAGACGCTTTTTTGTGACTTCTTTCATCAAAATTCATCGAGAAAAAGCATAATGGTGGTCTACGGTAGAGCTTTTCTTGTGATGTGGAAAATTGTTGGTGAGCATCAGGATTCCATCTGGGTAACCCTGGAAAGCACATGATTTCACCACAACGTAGCGAAATCAGCAAAGTTATGTTTGTTCAGCAAGGAAGGGTCAGTCACTTTTAGCTACCCAGCCTTTTATAGAAGGAAGTCCTCTGGAAGTCGTCGAAAAAGCCGAACCTAACGTCACGGACCAAGTATAATTTCATCCAGAACTGACAAAGCTCATTCTGAAGCTTTAATCTTCTACTCGATTGAAAAAAAAAACCAAAAAAAAAACAGTTGAGCGCTGGCGACCAGGAAGTAAGCCGAAAATTGTCAAAAGTGAGGTGACACGAGTTTTTAGGGGTGTGTCCAGGCAGGAGCGCTTTTGAACGACCGGCCGGCCGGAACTACATCAATGGCCGGCACACAATGCTAATCGTTGCATATTTAACAATAATTGGCCTTTTTCACTTCCTTCTTCATCAATTGGAAAGAAAAAGCAATTCCTTACTAGGTCTCGACTAGAAGGTCAATGTGATTGGCAGTGAGAAATAGGTATAAGTCAAATTGAACTGGTATTGTTGGAGTCCAGAGTAAGATAGAACTGCATTTGCCCTTGATGCCCTTAAAAATTGCCCATAAGGCTGAACTTTGGGAAAATTGAAGTCTTGTTAGTGACTCATGTAGGAATCTCTGAGGATGATAAACTCCTTCTCAGGGTGCGCCCGCTCACTTGGTTTCCAACCGTAGTGGTAGCACTGAGTTGCACTTCAGGCCAGGTTATAGGCCAGATACAGCCTATACAATGACTTGCGGGATCAGCTGAAGTCCAAGTCAGCGCTTCCATCCTCCCAGATTAGTCCGATACTGGTACCAGGTAAATGACCACTTTAGAGGGATAGAAGGCTTGTTGACTATATCAATCATGTACTAGGAACGAAATTGTAATGGAAACCGACGAGATCAGTTCTTCCAAAATACTAACGTATCTAAACATCCTGAGTAAAGATGATTCGAAGAAACCCACAAAAATAAGTTCATCTTCTTCTAAACATCAAATATTCAGATTCAATTTGCTCTGGTTGAAGAATTTGAATGCTCTCCTACGCAGCGTTTTTTCCTCGTCAACTGCTCCTCCATGGTCCTGATGAGATGGGGCTAAGCGACCCTGCTATTACATTCAGAGTCCATCAACTGTTGGATCAAGCCTGCCAACACTTACACTACACCTTGAATAGCTAGACTTTTGCAAGTCTCTTTAGGAATGATGAGTGCCGGCTGACCATCAGATCATTGTTTTGGCCGAGTCCAAACGCCACTACGAAGTGTGAAAGGTCGAACTGGGGACTCCGAAAAAAGGATAGATCGACCAGATTTTTTCGAACCCTAATTACAGTAGTGTTGGCCTAACTTCTTGCTTATGGAGATGCCATTGTCGACTTGGATGAAATTTGATATTAAATCCGGTTTAAATGCACTATCTTATCGATTACAAAAAAAAGCGAATGGGGATTGTGGCTAACTTTTTGGGAACGTCATAATGATGTCATCGTAAACTTTATCTGGAGTCGGCAATAGAGGCAGGACCATTTCCATTCCCATACTTTTCAAGTGGGTTCTCAACCAGTATTTCGAATGAACATGCTGGATCACCGTGAAGTTATGACCAAAGGGTCTTCGATGAGATGATCAGAAACGACTGCTCCCATAGGAAAAAATGAGCGAAAGGTTCTGTCTGCATAGCTCCTTACGCCTAGCTTTGCTAGACCACAAAACATAGCCAGCGGGTCCCACTTCGAAGAGAGGAACATGCGGGCAGTCACATCGCCTTCTAAAGCGGAGGGTACCATTAGGTCCAAGTGCTGCCTGGGACTCATGGATATTCGAATTGC